TGCTGCTGCTGCCGTGCCCTCTCAAACCGCTCCCGCTCCTCCCTCTCCAACCTGTCTTAACGCTGCACTCGGGTCAGGAAACGTATAGTGCGCGGCGTAGGCGTCGCAATGCTCGTCTCTCCGGCTCCAGCACCCCCAGAACCAGAACCTCCACCGACAACACCCCCAGGGAATCCAGTGCCTCCTACAGGAACACCCCCAGGCTCCGGAGCGACGGGCCGCGGAGGCGAACGAGGAGGGAACTGCGGAACAGACGGGAAGCCAGGAGGCTGAGTCGAGACAGCCGCGTCCTCCTCAGGGTTTAGGAGGCTCGCACCTCCCTTGTCCATGCGGCGGCTTCCCATTTTCTGTGGCCATTTGCGGTCCGATACGCCGCGCAGCATCTCAACCTCTGGCCCCGTGTCTCCCACCCGGAGACCTCCCCTACTCTGCGGTGGACGGGAGAGGTTGGTGATGCGTCGGCGTTTCGGGTCTGGGGTTCCCTTGCTCTTGTCCGCGATCTTCCCGCGGGCAAGCTCTCTCCTCGCACTCTTCGCTGTGTCCTCCTTGGCTTTTCCACCAACGCCACGCCTTGGGTGTTTTATCCCCCTTGGTTGAGCCTTTGGAGGTCTCCTCTGACACCTCTGGCCCAGCTGAGAGGGGTGACGCTGCTGCTGACGACACAGCAGCCACTCGCCGGTCACTGCGCTTGGAGACCCCTCCTGGTTTTCCTCCTCGGTCGTCTTCGCCGCCTCTGCAGCCTGTCGATGTAGACTTCGGTGCTGCTGTGGGTGGTGGACACTGGAGGTGCAGACTCTGGGGGTGCTGGTTCTGGGGGCGCTGACTTTGGGGGTGCTGGCCGTACTACTGGTGGTGGAGTCGTGAAAACTAGTACTGGAGGTTCTGGCGGTGGACAGCAGCAGGAGTCTCGTCGACAGGAGCCTCTCTCGCCGCAGCAGCTTCGCGAGTGGGCTGTCCGGTGGGGCAACCCCGGTGGCGGAGCTTGGGGTGCTGGAGGCGCTGGTGCTGGAGGTGCTGGAGGTGTTGGTGCTAGAGGTGCTGGTGCTGGAGGTGCTGGAGGTACTGGAGCTGTTGGTGCAGAGGGTGCTGGTACTAGAGGTGCTGGTGCTGGAGGCGCTGGTACTGGAGGTGCTGGTGCTGGAGGTGCTGGTGCTGGAGATGCTGGAGGTGCTGGTGCTGGAGGTACTGGCGCTGGAGGTGCTGGCGCTTGAGGTGCTGGTGCTGGAGGTGCTGGAGTTGGAGGTCTTGGAGGTGCTGGTACTGGAGGTCCTGGTGCACGTCGCCACGAGACTCTCTCGCCGCAGCAGCTTCGTGAGTGGGCTGTCCGGTGGGGCAGCCCCGGTGGCGGAGCTGGAGCTGCTAGTGCTGGGGGTACTGGTACTGCTGCAGCTGGAGGTGCTGGTGCTGGAGGTCCTGCCGGACCCGTCACTGGCGGTTCTGGGGGTCCGACTACTCTAAAGCAGCCGTCTGCGCTTCGCCACCTCCTCAGTCTCCCTCCTGCTGTGACTGAGTTCTCTAATGCTGGTACTACTCCTCCGGAAATGTTTCCACCGGCTGACCCGTGTCAGGCACTGTTACTGCCTGACTCCCCACTGCCTGCTCTTTCTCCTTACACTGAGGTGACAGAGTCCCTGATTGAGAGTAGAGAGCATGCGTCGCGTCCTGTCACGACTGTTCGTCCTCGTCGTGCTCCTCGTGCTCGCCCTCCACCTGTCCCCGGCACTCACGCTATAGCACTTCGTCCTTCCGCTGTTCGCCTCATGCGTCTTCTCTACCTGACGTTCCTGACCCTGAGTCTGACCTTACTCGTGTTGCTAGTCATACAGTCACACGTGTCCTGGCCACACTTGTCACTGACCCTTCCTTTGTGTCTACTGCTGGGTCTGCCTTAGTCACTGAGCTTGTTGACTTCGCCCCTACCTGTCGTCTTGACTACTTCGCGAGCCTTGTCACTGAGTCTAAGTCAAACTGTCCTCTGTCCGTCGGGGTGAGTTTGCCCTTGGCTGTGACGTCCTTGAGGACAAACAGTTTGAGCTCGAGTGCCTTGCGGCTGCTGTTCCTCATCTCGCTGCCATGCTACTTGCCTTTGAGGGAGACCCTGATGCACTGGACATCCCGACCCCGCGCTCTTACGCAGAGGCAATTTCGGGTCAGTACTCCTCTCAGTGGCAGACATCCATGGACGCAGAGATGGCTTCATGGAAATCCATAGACACCTACGTCGATGAGGTTCCCCCTCCTGGGGCGAACATAGTCGATGGCATGTGGATTTTCAGGGTGAAGCGGCTGCTGGGTTCTCCGCCTACCTTCAAGGCGCGTTACGTTGCACGAGGCTTCAGTCAGCGATAGGGGGTCGACTTCTTCCAGACCTTCTCACCCACCCCGAAGATGACCACTCTTCGCGTGTTACTGCACCTTGCAGCACAGCGTGACTACGAGCTCCACTCGCTTGACTTCAGCACAGCACGGCAGCCTTCACGAGGAGATCTGGTTGCGTCTCCCACCTGGCTTCACTGGGTCGTTTCCTGAGGGTACCCTGTGGAGCCTTCGGCGGCCAGTCTCCGGTCTCCGTCAGGCGCCCCGCAAGTGGCACGACACTCTGAGGGCTACACTTGCGGCTCTTGGGTTTGCTCCTTCGACTGCTGACCCGTCGCTGTTTCTGCGCACCGACCCTTCAATGCCGCCGTTCTACATCCTCGTGTACGTCGACGACTTGGTCTTTGCTACTGCCGACACTGAGGCACTGGCCCTTGTAAAGTCAGAGCTGCAGAAGAGACACACCTGCACTGACCTGGGTGAGCTGCGCAGCTATCTTGGCTTGCAGATCACCCAGGACAGAGCACGACACACCATCACTCTGACTCAGTCACACATGGTGCACCAGGTCCTTCAGCGCTTCGGCTTCCAGTTCTCTTCTGCCTACAGGCCACTCGCTCTCAGCTCCACCTTCGGACGAGTCCGTAGAGCCGAGTGGTCAGTATCCAGAGCTTGTGGGCTGCCTCATGTACCTGATGACTTGCACTCGACCTGACCTCGCGTACCCTCTCAGCATCCGGGCGCGCTACGTTGCGCCCGGGAGATACCGACCAGAGCACTGCGGGATGCTAGGAGGGTGCTGCGATACTTGTGCAGTACGTTGGGCATGGGGCTTGTGCTTGGAGGACGGGGCTCAGTTGTACTCACAGGACACTCATACGCTTCTTGGGCCGACGACCAGGCGACTCGGCGGTCGTCACAGGGTTACACTTTCAGTCTCGGCTCTGGTTCTGTCTCCTGGAGGTCCACCCGCTCGTCTTCTGTTTTCAGCTCCAGTTGTGAGGCTGAGATCTATGTGGGGGCCATGGCTGCACGGGAGTTATGCTGGCTGACCTACTTGCTGACAGACTTGGGTGAGCGGCCTCGTTCTACTCTGGTTCTGTACGTCGACAACAAGGCCTCGATTGCCTTGTGTCGGGAGCAGAGACTGGAGCACAGAACGAAGCACATTGCTCTTCGTTACTTCCTCGCTCGAGAGTGACAGCAGCGTGGTCAGCTTCTCCTTGCTTACGTGGCCTCACGAGCCAACACTGCTGATATTTTCACCAAGGCACTTGTGTCTGGTGATCATCAGTGTTTCTGCACTGCTCTCGGCCTATTGCCTACTTTGCCTCACTTGCTTACTGCTTGACATTGCCTTGTACTGTGATCTATATATATGCATGCTTACTCTTGCTAGGTTGTGATCGCTGTACTCCTTGTGCTTTTATAACTCTGCATGTGAACTAGCCTGGTGGCCACTTGCTTGTGCTTAGACTGCGTGGTGATCTCGAGATCCACCCTGAGCTTTGACTTGCTTTGGTTCTTTGCTTGACTGGTCTTGTGACCATTTGTTGTTCTTGCTATCCCCCACTTTGCCTATGGGGGTGTGTCAATGCATATATGCTTGTAGGCTGTAGTGGGGTAGCCCATATAGGGTACAACCCTTTTAGGGTTGCATGATTGTATCTCACTGCTGCTAGTCACACACCATTCTGCTGTTCTCATTCTGATACGACAGCCCATTAGACACTAGTGGCAAATCAACTCCAGATATTGTCCACTGTCATTTCACCGTGGTGGCACTCAATATGTGCTTTGTTGAATTGTGAGAAGTAACCAGCCTCAACGATGGAAACTTGTATTTCTGCCCGTGTCAATGGACAGCCCTATCTTAGTAAATGTGTAAGGCATTTATTTTGGATTGTATTTGTTGTAGTTTTGAAACATATTTTTCTTCTACATGCAACTTTGTTCTTTCTTTTTACAGGGTTGACGGTACATTTGCGCAAGCGGGCCAGAAATCGTTCCAGTGTGTACAGTGACTACTGAGTTGGCAACACTGATTGGCCTACGATACCGAACCGATTCATTTTGCGACAACGACACTAGCCAAACGGTACATCCGCCATTGAAGTGGCTGAGGTCGAGCGGTGAGTGCGCATTACGATCGGGTGGCATTAAGAACACCGTCCGATCTAGCCTGATCATATAACAGTCATCTCTCTCATCTCGCAAGCCACCCCAACCACCCTCATGCCCCACCCACCAGCTTCCGTCACCCTCAGGCCCACAACCTTGGCGCTGCTCGATAATTGTCACATGCGTATCCAGATCGCTTGTGACTCACCAATCGACTAAATAGTGGGCGGGCGCTCGGACACGCGTGCCAACTATTTCAGGTTACTCCGTGCTCCGTGCATGTTCGACGCGACATTAATCTTCGGACCGTCGAAACTGTTTTGGTTACGAACCTTTGCAGAATTGCCACGATACCTAATCCGCTTTCCGCTCTTTACCAAATGCATGCTTTAACTCCACCATGACACGTGCCACCCGACAAAAGGAGACGGAGGAGGAAAAGGCCGGACGACGCGCGACAAGAAGGCAGCCTCTTCAGATCAAGCAGGAGGGTGATGGCGGATCTAAAGCTACTAAAACGTCTGGCGGGCGTGACAGTCAAGGGAAAAGCGCTACGCTAAAATATGACGCGCATGCTCAAGATAAGTCCGAAAAGAAGGCGGAGGACAAGGGGAAGCGAGTATGGTAGAAGCGAGCCCGGGCCGACTGACGACGGCACCATCGACGCCAAGGACGATCCTGGGCGAGGGAGCGTGAGTCTTGCAGATCCGTCGGCGGAGAGAGAGGGTTCAGCGCCAAGGGGAAATCACGGTGACGCTCCGACAAGCGAGCATGACGCCATCCAGGAGTCCGAGGCGGAAGCATCGCAGCAGCGTCTGACGCTGCTCCGACCGACCGTGGTCGAAGTATCTGATGCCGTGGTCGAGAAGGACAACGATGGGGAGAAAAATTCAATGGAGGAGGAACACGGCATCGCCGACGTCGGCCGTCGCAGTCACGATGATGCCGCTAGTGGCTCTCCTCTTTCAGGTGGACGTGGGAGGCGTAGGTAGAGGAAGAGCGAGGGGGAGGAAGAGGATGACACCGACCTGGCCGGCGCCATCACTACGCGGACGAAGAGGCGGTAGACGACAGGCAGTGCTGACAAAGGGGGTGGTGCGGAAGTTGGGGAAACGCGAGGCGCCAAGGAAGCAAGTGGCAAGTCGACGGGTGCTGCATTGCGCCAGAAGGGCCGACGTGGAGCGTGGAAGAAATCTGGCGGAAGAAGGGGCAAGCAAGCAGCGAGGGGGAAGAGGCCGAAAAACTGCGAAGAAGACGCTGAGAATGCAGAGGAGGATGAGGGGGATGAGGAGGAGGAGGAGGAGGAGGAGGAGGAGGAGGAGGAGGAGGAGGAGGAGGAGGAGGAGGAGGAGGAGGAGGAAGTGGAGGAGGAGGAGGAGGAGGAGGAGGAGGAGGAGGAGGAGGAGGAGGAGGAGGAGGAGGAGGAGGAGGAGGCGGCGGCGGAGGAGGAGGATGCAGAGGTGGGGGGGGAGGCAAAAAATGAGGGGGATGATGAGGAGGAGGATGAGGAGGGGGACGAGGAGGAGGAGGAGGAGGAGGAGGAGGAGGAGGAGGAGGAGGAGGAGGAGGAGGAGGAGGTGGAGGAGGAGGAGGAGGAGGAGGAGGAGGAGGAGGAGGAGGAGGAGGAGGAGGAGGAGGAGGTGGAGGAGGAGGAGGAGGAGGAGGAGGAGGAGGAGGAGGAGGAGGAGGAGGAGGAGGAGGAGGAGGAGGAGGAGGAAGGGGCGGAAGAGGAAGAGGAGGAGGATGTGGCGGCAGATAAGGTCCCAGGAGCGTGAGTCAAACGGGGGATTGGTGTCAACGGGAGTAGTGTTTGGCCCCGTCCTCGCTTGGGCGGAGCCGACCTCGGAGACCGCGGGGCCGCGGGAGGCCGCGGGAGGCCGCGGGAGGCCGCGGTAGGCCGCGGGAGACCGCGGGGCCGCGGGAGACTGCGGGAGGCCGCGGGGCCGCGGGAGGCCGCGGGAGGCCGCGGGAGACCGCGGGGCCGCGGGAGGCCGCGGGAGGCCGCGGGAGGCCGCGGGAGACCGCGGGGCCGCGGGAGGCCGCGGGAGGCCGCGGGAGGCCGCGGGGCCGCGGGAGGCCGCGGGAGACCGCGGGAGGCCGCGGGAGACCGCGGGAGGCCGCGGGAGGCCGCGGGAGGCCGCGGGAGGCCGCGGGGCCGCGGGAGGCCGCGGGAGGCCGCGGGAGATCGCGGGGCCGCGGGAGGCCGTGGGGCAACCACGGGACCGCGGGGGGCGCGGGATACCCAGTCGACCAGGATACCCGGGCGACGTGTGCGAAAGTCGCCGGGGGTGATTTCTGCGAGGACGACCTTGGGGGTGGTATCCCAAGGTCGACGTGGCTGGTGGGCGCCGTCACGGGTGGAGTGTCTACGCTGGGCATGTGACGGGGCGTTGGGCGCCAACCAGCTGCACGCACCTGCGAAGCTGGTGCACCATTGTCAGGCGGGTGCAACGCTGTGCAGCCGACTTGCTGCAGTGTTGGCACACCGCGGACTTGCAACGTTGGCAAGCCGCGACTCTGCTCTGCTGGAGCGCGGTCGACCACGTCGTGCTGGCACGCGGTCGACCGTGCTGCGCTGGCAGTCGACTAGCAGCCTTGCTAGGTCTGATGTAGTCTGTTTTGCCAATGCTGATGCAATCATTCCTGAATCATTGTTGTGAACTTTTGCTAGTGAAACTCTGGACAAATTTCCCTGTGAACCAGCAAGCAGTGTAAGCACAAGCAAACGACTAAGGAACGAACGCAGAGATCACACGAGCACCCGTGCCTATCCCGTAGTCTAGCTCCCGTTGCTAAAGTTATATCCGCATGGTGCGGTGAGCGTGGAACGAACACACGAAGTGAACTTCGGTTTAGTCGACTTTGCATTCACCTAGCTTGTTCGTAGACCAGCAGCCGTGCTAGACACCATGGTGGACCCCGTAGTGCAAGCGGGCGTTGTGGACACCCTGGAGGCACGGCTGGAGAACGCAAGGAGAAGGCACGAGGCCAACGAGTATGGAGACCTGCCCTGGGAGGTCGTCGAGGCTGGCATTCGCGCAGTGTGGGCGACGGAGCACCCTCCCTCTCGGCCTGCGTCTCCTCAACCGGTGAACAACGCGGGCGGCGTCGACGCGGACGTCAACGCGGGTGGTGGCCAAGTCGGCAGTAGCGCGGGAGGCACGACGAGGCAGCGAGGTGTGATTCACGCCGATGAAGTCGGCGGCGTTCAGGCGCGAGGGATGCAGTCGGAGGCAGACGAAGTGAATTGGCGCCGATGTCGGCGACACACGTGACCGCGGGAGGAATTGCGCCGAGCTACGGCTACTTCAAGTTTACGCCGGAACGGATCTTGGTCACCCCTCTGCTGGTCGTTCGACCTGACATCCTCACGTGGAAGGAAGCCATCGAGCCCCAGCTGGAGATGGCCGGGCTGATGGGCTTCGCCCGCGGGACCGTGGCGACGCCAGAAGAGCACTACCCCGACTTGCGAGCGGAGTTTCGCGCCGTGCAGTTGCTGACCTTCACGGTCATCTCGCGGTGCTGCTCACCGGGCGTACAGATCGCCCTGAAGTCGTGCAGGGAGTACCTCGACGCCGGCCACTGGGCGTGGCATTTCATTGAGTCGACTTACCAAGTCACCGACGACTTGTTCATCGCCCAGCTTGAGGGGCAGCTGACGCACCTGCGTATGGGCGATCAGGAGACCACGACCGACTACTGCAACCGAGCTTGGCGAATTCTCGCCACCATACGAATGGCTGGCGTGCAGTACTCAACGGCATCGTACGTCACACACGTCATGCAGGGACTCCCGAGCAGGTACAACCTGCTTAAGCGGTTGTCGATGGCGCCGAGCACGCGGGCGACGCTCAACGAGGACACACTGACCTCGTACATCCTGCAGGACGAGGCAATGCAGGAGGCTGAGCGGTCCCAGGAGCTCCTTGCGCAAGTGAACTACGTCGCCCCGGCGAAGCAAAGTGGTCGACCGGGACAGCGCGGGCAGTCTGGTGGCAGTCACCGCGGTGGCGGGAAGCCGGCGAAGGACGCCGACAAGCAGAAGTCGGCCAAGGATGACGGTCGTGGAGGAGGAGGTCGACGTCGGGAATGCTGGCTGTGCGGCGATCCCGATCACCTCTCCTTCGAGTGTCCCGACCGCAGTGACTCGGACGACGACGAAACCAAGGGAGGCCGCGGGAGGTCTGGCATCCGTCGTCCGCGTCGAGGAAACCAGCCGCTAAAGGAGAAGCAGTCGACGAAGTCGACCTCGGCGAAGGACGCCGACTCCTCCGCGGGTGGCAAAGGGCGAGGCGACAAGGAGGCGTCGTGCTCGCTGGTCGGTATCGTAGAGCCGACCGACTCGCTGGCGCCGGAGGCTGGCGAGGATTTCCAGGCGGTGGCGGCAGCTGTGCAGGCGAACCCGGCAGTGGTCCTGCTCGACAGCGGCTGCTCGCACCACCTGATGGGGACGAAGGACGCCTTCGTCGACTTGGGGCCGAGCGGCGACGTGAAGCACGTGCGTGGCTTCAATGGGGCGCTGCAGGACGTTCGCGGCCGTGGCACGGTTGCGCTGCAAGGGGAGGCCGGGAAGCGAGTGCTCATCTTCGACGTTCTCTACGTCCCGGGCGTGCAAGCGAATCTTCTTTCGGCTGGCCAGCTGAAGGAGAGCGGGGTGACGCTGAAGGACGACAGCGACAGGATGTTGCTCGTCTCCGCGGCGGGGGACGTGCTCGGTCGAGCAACGTACACCGGCCGGGTCCTCTGCACTGACCTGCGCCCATGCGCGGTAAAGTCGACGACGCCCGCGAAAGAGGAGGTGGCTCTGCGGGCGATCGTCTCGGCGTCGAAGTCGACGCCGGACCGGCTGCATGCGAGGCTTGCACATGTCAGCATGAACACCATCCGGAGCTCGGCCAAGCATGAGGTCGCCACCGGGCTGGACCTCAAGTCGGTGTCTAGCGCCGACTCACCGTGTGTCTCATGCGTCGGTGGGAAACAGGCGCGGCACACCTTCCCCGACCAGGGCTCCGACGCCGCCGACGTGCTAGCCGTTGTGCACATCGACCTGTGCGGACATTTTCGCGTGGCTGCCAAGGACGATAGTCTGTACTTCTTGCTGCTGAAGGACCGCAAGACCCGCTACGTGTGGGTGAGGCCGGTCGCCAAGAAGTCGGACGTGCTGGTGGAATTCCAGAAGTGGCTGGTGTTGGTGGAGCGGCAGGCGAAGAAGTCGGTGCTGATGCTACGCTCCGACCGCGGAGGGGAGTTCCTCGGAAGGGCGTTCACCGACTTCGTGGACGGAAAGGGGATCGTCCACGACCTTACCTGCCCGTACACCCCGCAGCAGAACGGCATGGCGGAGCGGGAGATGCGGACGGTGGTGGAATTGGTGAGGACGATGCTGCTGCACATGGGCGTGCAGCACCACTGGTGGCACCTTGCTCTGCGACAGGCCGTCTGGGTTCGCAACTGCCTGGAGCGGTTGTCGCTGCCACCGGGGTCGACGCCGTACCAGCTCCTCACCGGGCAGAAGCCCGACCTGTCGATGGCGCGGGTGTAGGGCTGCATGGCGCAGTTCCTCGTCCCTGAGCAGCAGCGCGGTGGAAAACTGCAGCCGAAGGCTTGGTGGGGCCTTCACCTCGGCGTGTCGGAGGAGAACAAAGGCTGGGAGCTCCTCGACATCGCCGCCAACCGGGTGGTCACCACGTCGGATGTGGTGTTCTACGAAACTATGTCGCTGGACGTGTGGAAGTCGGAACTCGGGCCTGCGTCAGGGCGGACGCGGGCCAACCCGCCGACGGACACCTCGACGGCAACGCTTCCTCTGCTCGCCGCGGTCGGTGAGCAGGATGATGAAGATGCCGCGGTCGCCCCTGCCTCGCCTTCCCCTGCCTCTTCTTCCCGTCCCCTTCCCGTCGACCTGCGTGGCCTGACTCCGGTGTCGGCCTCCGGCGTTGAGGGGAGCAGTGGGGCGTCGCCTGTGGCGCCGGCCAAGAGCATCGCCGGTGGCCGACGTGACGCCCAGCCAGTCGCGGAGAAGCGGGCCGCGGAGGTGCAGCCACCTTTGGTGCAGGAGACCGCGGAGGAGACCGCGGCTAGCAGGCAGCTGACAGGGGAACAGGCAGCAGCTAAGTCGACCGCGGAGCAGTCGGCAGGGGAGCCGACGACAGGGGAGCAGTTGGCAGGGTCGCCAACCGTGGTGCAGCCGGACGCTGAGGGCAGTGACGCCGGGGAGCATTCAGACGCCGGCCCCCGCGGGGGCCGCGAGACCGCGGGCGCCGACCGCGGGACCGCGGGGGGCCGCGGGACCGCATGACCGCGGGACCGCGGGGGGCCACGGGACCGCGGGACCGCGGGACCGCGAGGAGTCCACTGACAGCGATGTGGTGGAGGTCCCGCCTGGACCTAGGCGAACGGGCCGACTTCGAAGGCCTCCCGACTTCTTCGTCCCCGCTGCCTTCACCACGGTGTACGACGTGGACGACGACGACCTGGCGTACGATGACGCCGAGGAGGATGAGGATTTTCCGGAGCTCGACCCCGACATGCATGCCGACCCCGAGCACCGTTGGGATATCTCGACGATGACGGTGAAAGAGGCGTTGGCGAGCTGGAAGGGCCCGGCGGTGAAGGCCGCCATGGAGGAGGAGATCCGCAGCCTCATCAACATGGGCACTTGGGAGCTGGTCGAACGCCCGTCGGGAGTGAACATCATGAAGAACCGGTGGGTGCTGACGACGAAGTACCGCATCGACGACACCGTCGAGCGCGAGAAGGCGAGGCTAGTCGTGAA